ATTTCTTAAATATTTAAAAAAAAACACCCAATTCACTGTCATTTTAAAATATCAATTTAAAATATAAAAAATGTATTAAGTAACATTTTTCATAATTCATGAATAATGTGGCTTATCTCAGACACTTTAATTTATAACGAACATATATCATTTTTCTTGAGATATATGTTATCGATAGATGATGATTTCAAGATATTTTAGAATATTTTATTTAATTATTTTCCTTGCATTGTTCAAATGCGTGGGAAAATGTCAAAGGATTAGAATGAAAAATCTCCTAAAATCCCATCAAATACGTGAGGAGAAATATAGATTAAAAGAAAAAAAAAAAGGTGCAGATGGTTCATGAATGGTAACATTATGTCATTGTTTATCAACGATATGCAAGACTATAAATTTTTTATTTTACATTATAATATATACTTTATAAATAAATTATGACCAATATAGTAATATGCATATGATGTCATATCAAGAGCAAAAATTGAATAATAAAGGAACAGTACTTACTCAATTATTTTATTTCGTTTGAATTTATGGATATTGATTGATATGTCTGATCTGATGCCCTTTTGCTTTAAACTATTATGTCTATGAGGAAAAGATTTCAACTTAAGTAATAAGTATTATCCTCCACTAATGATGCAAATCTACGCACAATGATGATTAATATTTGACGAAGTCGTCCTTTTCCTTTCACTAAGAATATATGTGACCCAAATTCAAAACAAGCGATCTTACATGCGCAAATCATCTCACAAGAGCCATGATCAAGGGCCAAAGAATGAATATTATGATCATGCAAACATTTCAAAAAAAAAAAAAAACAGGAGCATCAATAGTCTTAATAAAGATTATTAATTTGTGCTAATTGATAACGTCAATTATGAAAAAATAACACTTAAGGACCCAAAACTAAACATTATTAGTTACAGACCTTGAAAATGAAAATTCATCTTAAAGATCGTAGACATAAGTTGTGGTTATTGAAAATTATTTTCTATAAATTAAAAATTCATCTTAAAGATCATAGACATAAGTTATGATTATCGAAAGTTACAATTATTTACTCTAAATTAAGTTATAAGGACTTTTTATATTGGAAGAATGTTTTTCATCCAAAAATAGTAAAATCCAAAACATCATAGTAACTCTGATGCTACATTGATATGAGGGAAAGGTCATTTTGAAAGGAATAAAATTTAAAGAGAAAGTGATGAAAATAAATAAAAACATGTTTCATGATATAAAATAATATTTAAAATGTAACGAACGTTAATACTTTTATTAATAAGGATGCAACTTATGTCTCACAGGGGAATACGTTTGAATTCGGAAAACATCTTTAGTAAGAAATTTATAAGTATTTTTATAGACGTTTTTTGGATACCTTTTAATGTATGAAGACTTGGATTTAGATTTGATCAAATACATGCCTTATTATAATCTCTTTATAATTTTAAATTTTCTCAAGATCCTAGTTATTTGAAATTATAACTACTTCAGCACTCTCATTGTTTTCATGTTTTTATTATTGATACTTTTGTTATTCCTATCACTCCTCCTTTCTCTCGTCCTCTTAATTGAAAAATATAGGTAAAATTGTTATTTTCAATCTTTCATTTATGTTTTAAATCTCAACTTGCCTCTCTTTTTTTTTTTTTTTGTACACTGTCTGAACAAAAGATTTTAAATATAAGATTTTAAATTTAAAATTTAAATTCAAATTCATCAATCTAAATGCTATCTTTAAGTCTTAAGAACTATATTGAATTTTATGAACTCTCAAAACTCAATTTACCTAGCTTTTTAGAAAATAAAATGAAATAGAGATAAATATAAAATAAAAAAAAACAAAATATCATTTATAAAAAGGTAAATACTATAAAAGAAAGATTTGGTGAAAGAAGGTCTAGAGGTCAGTTGTTATAACCATTGGGCTTAATGAAATGTCTGTCTTTGATGGCCTTATTAAAGAACTAGCCCATTAAGGTTTGAGAGAGACCAAATTAATTATTTGATTAATTATTTAGTAATGATGGGGTAAAAAATTCATTTTAAGCGCTTGTTTTAAATATCTAAATGGAGATAATTTAAATTATATGGATTGAGTGAAATACCACTACTTTATTATGATTATAAGAGATATTAGAATGTGGTATGGTTATGATATCTCAAAAGCATGTCAAATTATTGAGTGTCTCTTCCGGCCACAAAGTAATTTCTTGCAAGTTCATAATTTAGAGATTATTTTCTCTTCTTATCTCTCATTAGGGGTTAAGATATCTCAACATTAAAGCATGTCGGGTTACTGGTTCTGCTCCTTCACAAACTAATTTTTCTGAGCGTTCTTAATTTTATATCTTAAAATTATTAGGATGTGTATTACTTACTCTAAATTTTATATTGTTTTAATTTATATTTTAGAGCATAAACATGTAATACTATAAATTTATAACAGCAAACTTAATTTTAGAAAACTAAAATATAAAAACTGGTTTTCGGGACCGGTCCGAAGCTTGATAATGAGGGTCAAGTTTGAAAAAAAAAATCAATTTTAAAATAAAAACTTCTAAGTTCGATCTTATAAGAGCTGATTATACGAACTAGATATGCCTCTTTTCTAAATTTGTGCATTATCTAGTTATTAGGGCACAATAAATAATGAATTATTAGCATGCAAAAATTTCAAAAGAGAGCATAAAGCGCAACTTCAAAATCATGAACAACAGTGACTCCCACAAAATCAAAAATTTTCTTTGAAATGCATAATGACTGCTACGACTAACCCCTGTCAACAAGTTGGTGAAAATATACAGAGAGGCAAAGCAAACCCCATTGCAGCCAAAAAAGCTTCAAAAAGACATTTGTCTTTTTCTCCATTGAAGTGACCTCATTGGTAAGCCCATCACCATGAGAACTCTTTTCATTCATGTTCTTGGATTTGACAACATTTAGGAATTAGTACTCGCTCGTTTCCAATCACATGGTAAAAAAAAAAAGAAACTATTCCCCTTTGGACATATTACTCTAAGATATCCATCTTATTAATTGGCCATTAAGTAAGACTTCTAATTTAAGTTTTATAAATAAATAAATTAAGTATTTAGGTTAGTTGGCTCTATCTTTTTTAGGGTTTTGTACACAGTTGATTCGAGTCCGCTAAAATTAATTGAGACTCAATGTTTGATTTTTTTTAATATAAAAAAATTATCATTTACACATTTATTTTCAACTTGAACAAAATTTCAAATTTTTCAATTTTTACATGGAATTGCAAGAAAGGGCAAAAAAGCTGGTTATCTCAACAAAAAAAACGATAAGCGAAGTTAATGCGCTGATGCACATACAAAGAAATATGTGAGACCTACAGTAAACTATTTTTCCCTGAATAGATTATCTGCTGAAATTTATTATTTACAGGGAGAGACTCGCTGTACAGAATGAATGAACTAAATATTAAATACTACATATAAGTTAGTCATATATAATTTTCTAATCACAAAACCCAATATTATATGATTAAAATATATAGTATCACTCTGATCACTAGCTAGTTATTTAATTATATCAAATGGTGGACGGCTAAAATAAAAAATGTGTGTTTGTAGCCATTAAAGAAGCATTAAAGGAACAACCAAGCTCTTTAGATTCGTATCTGTTCCAAATAATTTTTTAGGATTAATACATACATACATACATATATATTACATGAGGTGATTATGCGTACAAAATGTTGCAGATTGTAAAAGTAATTAATTCCCATACACAAGTGTTATGGCCTGTCATATTTTTCAATACTCAAATGAAGTGAATAATTAATTAATTATATTTGAACTGACAAAGGAATCTGTATATTAAAGGACACATACATGCACAAATTGGGTAGCATGCACATGCAAAATGATTAAATGCCAGCCTCGTCTTGCTGGATTTTTTTTATTATCCGCAGGGAAAAAACCGATACTAACAGATAAGACTGAATAATATAAATCAATTTCTTTCTAACAAGTGACATAAAAATATATAATCAGATTCAGAAATATAATTAAACCTTCAAGTTGGTGGATAATAGTGAAAGAAACAGAAAAGCCGATCGAGGAACCAAAGAAATTAAAAAAGCATACGTTGTTTCTCTCTCTCTCTCTCTCGCCTCTCACATATCCCTAGAGAGAGAGAAAAAAACGAAGAGGAGACTGATAAGAAAAGTCAAGCTTTATATATTAGAGTAAATAGTGTATCTTTTTAACCTCATATATATATATATATATATATCCTTTTGTCATCTTTCATGAAATTGATGATCTGAGAGAAAGCTTCTTTTTTCCGTTTTAGAATAATCAATCCCAATAACATTAATAATTCTCTGGGCACTTTAAAAGATGAGAGAGAGAGAGAGCCCCATCTTTTTTATCATCAATCTAGTCAGTCCCTCAGCTTTCTTCCTTTCGAGTCATGTTCATAATGCCTCTCTCTCTATATCTACTACTCAACGTACTCTTTCAACTGTAGAAACCCCCTGTTCCTCTCAGCTTTCTGTCCCATCCACCAATATTCCAAAAACGAATGTGGGACTCTTGGAGTTTGCTTCCACCAATCAATCTCTCTCTCTCTCTCTCTCTCTGTGTTGTGTGTGCGTTGAGATACTGGGTCTTAATTATTTTTTTCTTTCTGACTGTCGTTCTGGTAAGTAACAAGAAGAGAGAGAAGCTGGAAATCTCTCATACATAACTCCAGCGTACGACATGGTTTCATCAGGGTCTGGCGCTATAGAGGCTATGGAGAGGTAGGCTTCCTCATAATTCATATTCTTGACGATAAGTTCGTGCACGATAAATTTTTATACATTTAACAATTCTGATATTAAAAATTTATGTTGTTAAATTTCAAAAAATTATGATGTTTTAAAATTTTAACCTTAACTCTTACAATTGAATCATTATATATAATATATATCAATCAGAAATTTTTAAAAGAAATTTAACAATAACAAATTAAAATTATGAGGAAGAAACTCGATCTTTCTATAACATAATGGCTACCAAGAAAAAAAAAAACAAGAAGAATCCTTCTTTTACATTACCCTCTGCAAACCAGATGAAAAAGATTATAACATGACCTTGAATTAATAATGATGACAATATTTCATGACCAAAGCGAAAGAAAGAAAGGTAAAAAAAATATATTATAGAGGGAGGATATTAATTAAGGTATGATCATATAATTGTGAGTTTAATGAATAATAAATTTGTTTCTTCAAGGTCTTGTTATAACCCTCTCTTTGGTTCTTCAAATGAGGTGGTGGTGGTGCTGTGAATATCTGCTGATGCTGATGATGATGATGACCAGTCAAAGAGATGAAAAGGATCTAAAGCTTTGGATTCTCTCTGACGGTCATGATTCTGATGCTCTTCATTGAAACCTGCTTGAGTGAACAAGAGATTGAGTGGGTCAGCTTCAATCTCTCCCAGTTCTGCAAAGAAATCCTCACAAGACTGATTATTATTATTATTACTCTCCAACATACATGGTTTGTATCCCACTCCTTCTGATCTATTATTATCATCTTCCATCATCATCATTTTCAAGCTCTTGATCATTCTGGTTCATCACTGCTATATCTTCCATCTCCATCTCCTCCTTCACTGATGATGATGAGCTTTTCCCTCTCTGATGATGATCTTGCTGCTGCTGCTGCTCCTCTTCCTCCTTCGGCTTCGTCGAAGCTTGATCAGAATTGTTGACGCTGTTGTTCTTGGAAGCGTTGTTGTTGTTCTTGGAAGGCTGAGACCTGGTTGAGCCGGCGAGAGCGTTGCGTTGAGTCGGCCATGGATGGTTGTGCTCTGAAGTGTAAGTGATGACCAGCATGTTTGGGTCTGTCCTGCTTCTCTCTACTTGTTTCCTCGCTGAACAACCCTTGGAGCTGCTGCATCTATAGTAGCCCCTGGATATACCAATACTTCAGAAACAACAACATGATCGATCCTTTTTTGGTTTTGATTCTTGCTTCGACTCTAACAGAACCTCAGGCTCGTATTTTCAGAGATAACTCTACAAGCTAAGACTATAGTGGGGAACATTCTTTTTTTTTTTTTTTTTGAGACGTAAGAATTAGTTAATAGCAGGTTATTTAAGGAACAGGTCTTAAAAAAATAAGGTTAAATATTTTTTTAAAAAATTATAATGTTTTCGAAGGTCAAGGTTGTTAATTACCAGATTCAACTTAAGTTATCTAAAACTTTTATTAAATTTCAAAATTATTTACAACTGTAGTTTTTTCTTTTCAATTTAGTAATAACATGTTAGAAACTTTAATTTTTAAAATAATAAAAAAATTAGGTTTAGATCCTTACTTATATTTTTTTTATTGCTAGTAAGTATTCTTTTATTAAATACAATTATAAATGTTCGAAACATGATCAAACATTAAATTTAAGCATTCAAATTACTACGTTGTGAGGAACTAGCATCTTTCATTGGATTTAACCTCAACTTATTGGTTGTTACATGCAATCTTAATTTTATAAAAGACTCATTTTTTATATAGCTATCTAATTGGATTATATTTAATTATTATGGGGCCCAATTATGAGTAATTCTATCACATATACTCTTCGTATATTCACGCAGACCCAAACTAGAAACTGAGAATTTGACAACTAGATTTGGAGATATTTCAACTGCAATTTTCATCATATTTAACAAAGTAATTGTCACTTGACATTCCTTAAATAAGATCTCAACTTTGAGCCGATTGAATAAAAAAAATCATATCATACTCGAATCTAAATTAGTAATTAATAAATAGAACAAAATATCAAGAACACAAATCCCTGTTATAATTAACAAACAACAAGATATATCTATGGAGAAGATAGAAGATGAAGTTAAATCAAGTTGATTAACCATTATAATTATTATTATATATTATATTATTATAGTACCTTGGGTATGGAGAACCTTTGATGGGTTTCTGACCGTACTTTCTCCAAGCCCACAGATCAGACGGAACTACCTCTCCACTACTTGGTCTGCTATTTGCCGCTGCTGGTGCAGGTATACACACCACCTTCTTCGCCTGGCTTTTTCTGCTCACAAGTCACAGCACCCACACATACATAATTCTCTCATCAATCTCATTACTGCTTTCTATAATCATTATTATCTCCGAACAAAACGGCATATCTATAGACATAGCCACTATATCTACATCTATAGCCCCTCCTTTCTTTATCCAATAATGTTGAATTATCTGCTGCTAGCTGCAGACTCAAGTACTTTTCAAGTAGTTGATTTGGTGTTCAGAACAAACAGTACTGCGGCTAACAATAAAGGCAGAGTATGGAATGTATGACACCAAGTTTAAATGAATAGGACTTTTCAGGTGAGGAAGGCCAAAATTTACATCTAAAACTTCCACACATGTCATTAAACTCGCCGAAAGCCCAGTCCAGATATGTTAACCTTTCCAGCCTCTGGCTCGCTTAATTAATCAAAAAAAGCATACATACATATATGATTATTATTATCTATTTAATTATGGCCCTTGAAATTAATATGTATCAAGTGTTTTTTCTCACCTGAAACTTGATCATTCTTGTTGTTCTCAGTCAAATCAGTGAAAAGTAATGGTAATAATAAGCCACCTAACTGTGCCTGCCAAACCCTACTTTCTCTGAACCTCACACCATGATTTTATGAGAAATTATTCGAGTTCCAAAAAAACGGTCGTGATTTGTAAGTTCTTCCCTTTTATGAAATTAATGAACCGGAAATAAATTTGGTTCTTTGGGAAGATGAAGCTAGCTTCTCGATCCATCATATTTAATTGCACAGAGATTGTTATGAAACAAGAATAATTAGTATTGTTATGCTCACCTTCGCTTGAGACCCGGATTCCTTGGAGACGAGATCTGCACTGATGCGTTGTCCACCGTGATATTCAAGTTGCCAGCAGAAACCAAAGAAGAAGAAGAAGAAGAAGAAGGCTCGATTCCCCGTGGCGACGACAGCGGCAAGGATGACGAAGATGAAGAATTTATGGCGGCGGCGGCGAATATTCACCGAAGGAGAACCGCAGGGTGAAACCGGTGGTGGTAATTTGGCGTTCATACTGTTGGGAGAGATCTGAATCATGTTGGAGAATATGGTGTTGTTGTTACAAGCTGCTGCTGCTACAGGGGGCCTTATTCTCATATCATCTTCTACAAGCTTGTGATGAGACGACAAAACAACAGAAGAATCAGAAAAACCAGGCGATGCATCTTCCATGGCAGAATTATTAATTGCAGAACTGAAGTAGGAAGAAGGTAAGGGGAAATCAAGGTCTTGAAGAAAGGGATCTCGCATGTTCGAGAACGGGTCGCCAAAAAAGTTGGTGGCTCTGAGAGAATCTTCCATTATCACAGAAGAGAAATTCATCTGGTGGTGGTGGTGGTGCCAGCTTTCTGATGAAGTAGAAGAGAGATCATGAGGAGCTAATTCAGATGCTGAAGAAGAAGTGCCATAAGAACCACCGCCACGGCCACCACCTCCGGCACCGCTGCCACCGCCGCGCTACTTGCACGGAATATATCAGTTAAATCGCCTTGATGAAAATTGTTGTCCATGATTGAGCCAAAGATGCTGCTGCACATGCTTTTTCTCAGTAGAGAGATATTGCTTCAATCAGAAAGAGAAGAGAGTCATAGCTATTAGTGTCAGTCATGTACGTCTTAATCAGCTTGATTTGCATGAAAATTAATCTAGGAATCAAAAGCAAGAAAGAGAGAGAATTATATAGAGATAGGTCACAGGATGAAGTTCGAGACTAGCGATTGTGTTCGTGTGTGTATGATGGCCTGAAGAAGAAGAAAAGAGGAAGAATGAAGGAAAGATTTGAGAGAATGGGTTTAGAAGAGAGAGACGCTGACTTTTCACTCAAAACAACTTCATTTCCATACGCAACATGATGGGAGAGAAAGAGGAAGATAATAAAATAAAGAGAAATTTGGGAGTAGAATACTATAATGATGGTCTAATTTGAGCTGGGAGATTTATCACATACCATCAAAATGGTCAAATTCGTGCCATTGTTTTTGTTTATTATTATTATTTTTAATTATTATTGTTACTATTTTCATTAGTTTATCTTTCTCCATCTCTCTCTCTTTGATTTAAGAAAAGATGTCATTACATTACGGAATGGTCATTTCTCGAAAACAAGTGATGAGGAACTAAAGAGGCGGCAAGTAGCCGCATTTCTCGGAGAAACGTTTCGAAACTTTCAACCTAATTTTGCCGTTTCTCGCTACCCAGAATGTTTTACTTTCAGAAGTACATGAGATTATTGTTAATAATAGGCGATATATGGGTTTCTTCTTCTTGCTACAACTTGATCCGTATAGCACTTTTCGCAGTTCGACCTTCTCCAGATATGACCACAAAAATTGATTTTCTATGTGAGAGGAAATTAATTCCATATGTGTGTTTTTCCATACTGGTTTTTTACATAAACGCTCTTTCATATGCGATTTCATGAGCTTATCTCCACTGCATTTTCCTTTCACTGTTTAGTTAAATTTTTGGCTATAAAGATTAATTAATCTGTATTTTTAAAATTATCAAATCTAAATTATTAAATTCATTCTAATGGTTCAGATTTGTAGAGTTCCCTTCATTGGAGTGGAGGAAGCCCACTCCAATCCCATATATCATTTTTCATACTAGCTAGCTGTGTGATTTTGTATTAATTTTTTTTTTTTAGTTTTTCACAAGGCATAAATCCAATGAAGTTGGTTATAAGAAAGTGATATTCCACAAAGAAGTTTTTTTAATTCTGTTGCCTGACAATGAGAAATTTGTAAGTACTTTTACAAGAGTTTTTTTTTTTTTTTGAATAACATCACTATCTTAACTTTAGTCCTGAATTTCAATTCACTTAAATTTTTTTATATAAAAAAGAAAAGAAGATTCATAAGAATACAAACAGGCCAAAATTCTAAAGTACAATAATAAATCATGAATTTCAAAATTAAGGACACAAATTAAATACTACATTTAACTCGCCACACACTAATACGGACCCTGTAGTTAGTAGCTCAAGGAGAACATAATATTAAATCTCGTATGTTGAACATCTGTTGCTGAATTAGACATTAATCTCCTTGGTTTTTAATTTAAAGATTAGAATGCAGATCACAAATATATAAATTTAAGAAGTATCTAATTAAATGACTTAAGTTATTTTAGTGAAACATACTGTCCTTAACCATATTTACTATAAAAAA